CCATCCATCGAAGCCCGCCTCCTCCATCAAAGTTAGAAAAGGGGACAGAGGAGGGCGCCCCTCCTTGGACGGCAGGAGAGATGCCCAGCTGCCTCCTGTGTCCCCGGACGGTCCCTGGGGAGAGAGCGACACGGATGCGCACTTCATTAAGACTCCATCCCGTCCCCGAGCTCTGGGTGGTCATGGGTCTGCGTCTGTCTCCCTGAGTCCCCGGCATCTCTCAGAGCATCTCTCAGAGTGTCCCCCGAAGGAGAAAGGGGGTCCCCTGCGCTGGCTGGAGGGTGGCGCGCAGATTGACTGACAGCATCTGCCAGAGCCCTGAATGCGTGCCATCAGGAAGGAAGCAGCCGCCAAGTGTGACGGCGGTGACTGAGGGTTTTAAACGCTCTGAGGAAAAGGACCGAATTTAACTTAATGGCCACGGGGCCCCCAGGAAAAAGCAGCCCATTAGAGCGAGTTATGGAGTTGCCAGATCCCCGGCTCCGGGGCCAATCCAGACGACATCGCGCAGCCTGCGAGCAGCTCACCAGCTGCACAGATTGCAGACTATAGGTTTGAGCCCCCAAGACGGTCCAGCTTGTGTGGGATCTGCAGCAGGGGAATGCCTGGGCAGAGAGACAGGCATAGTGGTGGGCACAAACCCCCTGGACTGGCAGGCTTTCATGGGAAGAGGCTGACTGTCCCCAGCTGGAGTCCCTCTCTCTAGTCCTTCCAGTTAGCTCTGGCTCACACCCACCTGGGGGGGGCCCCCTGGGTGGGGGGGGGGGGGTGTGATGATGAAATCTGTCCCCTGTATTTCCTTTCACGTCCATTGGTGATATTCAGGTCTTGGAGGACTGAGATCACCAAGGGAGGTCACAGGCCTTGGAAAGAGACAGAGTCACCCCCTGTCCCTCGAACCCACACCTGCTTCTTGATGCCTGCACCCTTGAGCACCTACAGGGCAAATTGAAGGAGGACCACGTAGCAAGTCAGCAAGACCCCAGGTTCCCAGTGACCACACCTCCCTGTCAGGCAAATGCAAATCAAAACCACCACGACGTGGCTCCTCACCCCAGTTAGAGTGGCCGTTATCACACATCAAAAAAATATATAGATGCTGGCCAGGACGGGGACAAAAGCCATCTCTCCTACGCGGCTACTGGAAATGTAGCACAGTGCAGCCATAATGGAGAGCCACGGATGGAGGTTCTTCAGAACACTAGAAATGGAACTACCATATGCTCCAGCTGTCCCACTCCTGGGCATGTACCCAAAGGACATAGAACCAGTATGCAACAGAGGCATCTGCCCTTGCAGCACTGTTCAAAAGAGCCACACTATGGAACCAACTGAGATGTCCACTGACAAGTGAACAGATAAGGAAAATGTGGTGCTCATACACAGTGGAATACTATACAGCCTGGAAAAGGGAGGGATCTGTCATTTGCAGGCAACACAGCTGGAACGAGGAACCTCATGTTAAGTGAAATGAGCCAGGCACAGAAAGGCAGATATCATGGGATCTCATCCATCTGGGAAACTGAAAATGCAGTTCTCATGGAAAAATAGAATGTAATCCCTGGAGTCTAGGAAGGGTCAGGAAGTGAGCACAGAGTGAACAGAACAACCCCCAAGACACAGTTTGATTTTTCCCACAGCACAGGAGAGCAACTGGGGTCTGATGGCTGACCACCTGGTTTATTTCAGAATACTGAAAAAGGAGAGCCCAGAGGTTCCCGACACACAGAAAGGATAACGGCTTAGGTAGAGGGAGGTGCTAGTTACCCTGATTGGATCATCACGCATTTTAGCATGTATTGAGTTATCATACTGGACTCCCCCAAGTAGCTCCAAATAATTGTGTCCATTGACAAAAACTTTTAATTGCCAGAGGGGTTTTGGCAACCCTGAGCTCCCTAGGACTCATTCCTAGAGATAGAGAGTTGGTGGGTCTGAATCTGGGGGCAGGCAGGATTATCCTGGAGAAAACTCTAGAACCCAGAGCCACAAAATGAGAGTCTGGGAGGGAACAAAGAAGGTGCTGTCCAAGCTGCGGGGAATACCAAGCAACACCAGAATTTCCTAACAGAGCCAGCCGCACAGTCTGAAATCAAGAAAGAAATGCCGGTGCACACCTGCTCCCAGCAGCTCGGGAGGCTGAGGCAGGAGGATCACGAATTCAAAGCCAGCCTCGGCAACTCAGCGAGGCTCTAAGCAGCTCAGTGAGACCCTGTCTCTAAATAAAACACAGAATAGGGCTGGGGATGGGGCTCAGTGGTCGAGGGCCCCTGAGTTCAATCCCTGGTACCAAAATTTAAAAAAAAAAAATTTACTTAGGATCCCAAAGCCTCGTCTGTAAAACAGGAGTGCTAATTTCTCCCTTGCAAGGTTGAGAAAGAACTGAATGAGGTAATGGGTGTGACGCAGTTGTGCATTCCTGGCACCCAGCCAGCGCAGTACAGTGTTTCAAACATCACGATTGCCACAGCAGGTGCGGTGGGTGTCCTGCTCTTTGTGGGTTCGTATGTGCAGATGACAAGACTTACTCTGCTGATGGTCTCCCTCCCTCGTCTCCTCCTGCCCCCTGGTGACGGAGGGCAGAGTCTGGGAAGCCGACCACATGACCAAACAGAGCCCATCAGCCGGCTGGGGACTTCGCCCAGCCTAGCAGGGTTAACAAGGGCTCTAAAAATAATTGTCAATTGCTTGTTTGTTCCAAAAACAATGTCACAGCTACATGGGCCCTTCTGTCACGCTCATCAGGCTGCATATTTGACACTTAGAGAGACCCAGGAGCATCTGTGCTGGTGAGTGGTGGCCCAGACAGGATGACCCCTGGGGACCCCTGAGCCTGGCTGCACCCAAGCTGTTGGTATCAACCACAGCTGGGCCCCAGAGCTGGATGTCCCAACCCGCCACCTCCACCAGCTCTGTCTGGTCACCCTCTCCTCACTGCACAGTCTATAGAGACTGTCACCATCAATCCTTTGGTAAAAGCCACCGCTTTTGGAACAAACTCGCATCCCATCCAATCCTCCGAGTCGAGTTGGAAAATCCCGATTCTACCCCAGAAGGTGCGGGGCCTGGGGAAGGTCACCGGCTCGCCCAGGCTCCTGCGGCCGGGGGACCCGAACCCCAGGCCAGTCCCAGGAAGCCCGCGTGGCCCCTCACGACCTTGGCCTGCCCCGCTGTCCCCTGCACGCCCTCTCCTCTGCCGGCTGTCATCCTGGAGGGAACGCCGGCTGCTGAGCCATGCTCCCCAACAGGGACATTTGCGGCTGCCGGTTGCAAACCTTCGCCGTCTGTGGATCCAGCCTCCGAGGCCAACTCCATGAGAGCAAGTGAACCTTCCCAACGGCTGCCCAGACGCATCCAGATGACATCCCTGAGGGCCCCCAGAGCGGGGACGGCGCTGACCGAGCGCCTCTCTGCAGGAAACCCAGGAGGATGGCTCTCCGGCCCCGCCTCTGTCCCACGATGTCATTTCTCTCCATCTGGAGATCCTCACGTCCTGACCGGGGACGGGAGGAATGGTGACAGTGGCTGGCAGTGACAGAGCCCACCTGTGAGAGAGGCGCTGTCCTGGGTGCTGAGGGAAGCCCGGGGAGAGCAGCCCCATTTGACAGGCAGGACAACTGAGGCTCACAGAGAGGAAGCCACTGACCGGCACCTGGAAGAGCTGGGCCGAGGAGGGTCCACGAAGCTCTTTTCAAGCAGGATTCAGGCCAGGAAGGTCCTTTAAAAATTATCTCTCAGTGGTTCTCCAAGTCCCCAAGTTCCCTTAGGAATTTTAATTTTGGGGGAGGGAGTGTACCAGGGATTGAACTCGGGGACACTCAACCACTGAGCCCCATCCCCAGCCCTGTTCTGTGTTTTATTTAGAGACAGGGTCTCACTGAGTTGCTTAGAGCCTCCCTGTGGCTGAGGCTGGCTTTGAACTCGTGATCCTCCTGCCTCAGCCTCCTGAGCCTCTGCGATGACAGGAGTGGGCCACCAGGCTCAGCTCCCTCAGGACTTTTTGACTCTATGATGCCATACAAGCAATATGCCTTCAGTAGAAACTGTGCCTCGGATTTGGAATCTGGGTCTTTTTCCAGACAGGCAACATATGGTACATCTTCCCCTGTGAGGCTGGGCGGGGGCGGGGCCGCAGCTCTGGGGCGCCACCTAATGGACAGTTCGGACCATCCCGACCCTGGGTAGGTCAGATGTCCCCAGCACGTTTTCAATTTACGGTGTTTTCAATTTGCAATGGTGTCAGGCAGCAGAGTTGGAGGAGCATCTATAGATGGTTTTACTTTCAAGATAAACATGAGGGCTGGGGCTGGGGCTCAGTGGTAGAGTGCTTGCCTCGCATGTGTGAGGCACTGGGTTCGATTCTCAGCACCACATACAAATAAATGAATAAAATAAAGGTCCGTCAACAACTAAAAGCTGTATTTAAAAAAAATAAAGAGATAAAATGAGTCACAAGCATTGCACAGCAAGAAGACCCACCAGGTCCTGGCCCCTGCCTCCCTACACAACCAGGGCTGTCCCTAATCTCCCTCCACCTGTGCCTCCAGCTCCCTTCCAAGTCCTCTTTCACATTGGGCCTTCATGGGTCTTCACATATCCTCCTCTTAGGTGTCCTTGTGTGATGGACAACATGTGCAACCGTATATGGCAGACTGTGTGAAGACCCTGTCCTCTCTGTCCTGTTAGCACACAAACTTCTCGCTCTCTAATTGTTACTGCTTAGAAATATGATTGTCTCTACTTTCCTGTCCACCACTGCCGGCCATCTAGCGCATACCCAACTAGACCTTGACACTTGTGGCCTTGGTTCCTACAGTCCTGATGCTTAACTGGGTCCCAGCATGAGCCACCCCAAATCTTTCAGGAAAAGGGAGGACAGGAAGGGAGCAGAGGAGGGATGGGGACTGGGAGGGGAGGACCTAAAGGGCAGCCTGCAAGCCTTGGGGACCCTCTCCCCCTGCAGACCCAAGCTGACAGGTGTCTTTTCTTCTCTTCCCAAGATGTGGGACCAGAGGGCGCCTTCGGTCCTTCCGATCCTTACCTGCTGCCCTCCGACGCGCTGGACAGCGGCAGCCTGAGCAAAGAGAGCCCCGAGGAAGGGGTGACGATGGTCCCTGCGACCCCCGCGCAGTCGGGGGAGGAGCTCGGGGGGCCGGAGCTGGAAGGAACAGGACCCTCGGCGCATCCCCAGCGCCCGGCTCTGACGCCACTGCTTCCAGAGGAGACCGGCCCCGAGCACAGGGTCCCGCCCCAGAGGAAGCCGCCGGCCATCAGGCAGGGGCACCTGTGGCCACCGGCCACTTCAGCAGCGGCGGTCCCAAGCGCAGGGTCCCGCGCCGCGCGCCCGGCCCTCCTCTCCTCCGCCACTGAGGAGCCCCGTCCCCTGGGGGACCTGGACCCTGTGGTGGCCTCCGAACCGTCCTCGGAGGTGCACGGCTGGCCGGAGCGGGAGGAGGGGACGGTCCCCACCACGCCCGCGCCGCCGCAGCTGGCACCCTTCACCTCGCAACCCTGGGTGGCGCACACGCTCCCGCAGGGGCCCGGCCCCCAGGAGCCCGCTGCGCCCCAGGACGCCCACGAGGCCACCCCCGACGACGCCAGCACCGTGACCCTGATGGACAAAGGCGACAACGAGCTGACAGGCTCGGCCTCCGAGGACAGCCAGGAGACCACCACGTCCACCATCGTCACCACCACGGTCATCACCACCGAGCAAGCGCCAGGTACTCAGCCCGCAGCCCGCGGCTGCCGCCCAGCGGATGTCCCGGCTCCGAGGGAGCGACGCTGGCGGGCAGAGGGGGCCTTCTGGCCTTTCCAGAGGCCCCCACCCGACTTTTTGCAGAGCTGGGCTCTGAACCCAGGGCCTCCATGTGCTAGGCGAGCCCCCACCTTGAGCCACGTCCCCAGCTGCCCCAGGGACATTTCTTTTCATCATGACGTTGTCCTCTGTATCTGTGGGGCGTGGTGGCACTTGTCTGTCATCCCAGCAGCTCGGGAGGCTGAGGCAGGAGGATCGGGAGTTCAAAGCCAGCCTTGCCACAGCGAGGCCCTAAGCAACTCAGTGAGATCCTGTCTCTAAATAAAGTATTAAAAGCGCTGGGGATGGGGCTCATGGTTAAGTGACCCTGGGTTCAATCCCAGGTACAAAAAGAGAAAGAGGGAAAATTTGCACCTGCACTAATCATGTACAAACTCTTTCCCATCCTTATCCCTAATCCATGCCCTAGGATGACTATTTGCCCAGCATTCAGAGGGTAGCCAGGATTATAAATAATGACACGAATATGTAATAATCTAAATGAAGTAGGTAAAGGGTCACAGGTTCTTCTGAAAATAGGGCATCCTTTCTCCTAAGGGTCTCGTGCATGCACAGACTTTGATATCTGAGGAAGTTCCGGAGCGAACCTCTGGTAATGTCCAGGGGCGGCTCTGCATGTGTTCCTCTAGACGGGGGACTTCTGCACTGAGTCCTTCACCTGTGGGAGAGGGGCCCCCAACAGCCCAGCAAGGTGGGGTCTCCTTGAAGAGTGTAAGCTCTGGGTCTGACTGGTGTTTGCTGTGTGAGCTTGGCCACCCAGCAAACCTCTCTGAGCTTTCCTTGACCTGGTTCTAAAACGGATCTGAGGATACTATGGGGATAAGTGGGTCAGCCCTGCAGGCTGGTTAGAAAGGCATCCAGCAGCACTCAGTGGCTTGGTTTGGGTATTTTATTGCCACTTTGATGATCACATCCGTTCTAGAGCTAAGGAGTCAACAGCAGCCGGAGGGACCAAAACGCGGTTTCCCCTAGAAGCCCTCCCCCCGCCCCCGCCCCCGCCTCCGCAGCCCACCGTGTGTGGCCCGTGTCCTGATCCAATGCTCCCCTCAGCCCTCTGCAGCCTGAGCTTCTCCGACCCCGAGGGCTACATCGACTCCAGCGACTACCCCCCGCTGCCCTTCAACAGCTTCCTCGAGTGCACCTACAACGTGACCGTCTACACCGGCTACGGGGTGGAGCTCCAGGTAAGCGGGCCGGGCGCCTGCCACCGCCTCCTCCCGCAGGACTTCCGGGGAGGGTGGTCTCCGCCAGGCCTCCTGCTGTCACCTGAGCAGCTTGGTTCTCTTTCTCTCCAACCAGGGCTATTTGAGCTGGGTTTTGTCAAGTGAGTAGGGGTCCCTAACTGAGAGCCCCTGGAGTATCATGGAACCCTGGAACATGTGGGGGGGGCGGGTTTCCCCAGGAGGGAGGCCCTTGGTATCCTGCTGTTCAACACACACCCACGGGGAAGCCCACCTGGTTCATTGGATTCTTAAACATTTCTCTGTGAATGAAAAGAAAAACAGGGAGCTCACACATCCATGTGCTAAGTCTCAGCTCCATCAAAGCTGTGCAGCCCTGGGCAAAGATCTTCACCTCTCTGAACCTCAGCTTCCCCTTCCGTAAAATAGAAGTACTGTGACTAGTTTGAAGGAGGACTAAACACAGCAATCCAGAGAGAGCAGAGAGCACTTGGCCAGAGCCCCCAGACACAGGACACAATGCTCAGGACGCGTTGCCCTATGCCCTCAGCACACCAGCACCTGGCTCCAGCCTTCCTGGGAGGTCGCCCCATCTTTTGAAATCCTTGCAGAATGAACCCTGGAGGCAGGCCTGGGGGTGGGGTGCCATCCAGCAAACGGTCCCACAGAGGAAAGGAAGAAAGTGGGGTCAGAAAAAGGGTCCCACATCCTGTGGCCTTGACCTTTTGGGGCCAAGGTTAGGATTTTGGATGTGTTCCTTTTTCTAATAGACCATAAAAAGCCATCAATAAGGACAATAAAGAGCCAGGTGCAGTGGCACATGCCTGTCATCCCAGTGGCTGGGGAGGCTGAGGCAGGAGGATCCTGAGTTCAAAGCCAGCCTCAGCAAAGCAGAGATGCTAAGCAGCTCAGCGAGACCTTGTCTCTAAATAAAATACAGAATAGGGCTGGGGATGGGGCTCAGTGGTCCAGTGCCCCCTGAGATCAATCCCTGGTACCATCATTCATTAATTAATTACAGAACCATTCCTGAGCTGGGGTCTTTGGATGTCCTCACCAGAACGAGACTCTAGGGAGGCGTTTGGACCTGTACGGGATGTGCAGAAGCTAAGCCCCTCCTAACCAGGGGTCTTTGCGGCCCCCAGAGTGGAGCGTTCTCAGGGGTCCGTTGTGGGTGGTTGCTCGACATCCGTGGAATAAAACAAACTGGAGAGAACTTTCAGTCCGTCTGACCCGGGGCTTACTGAGCCCTCTCCTCTGTATCTCAAAGGGACCCACTGTGTATCTAATACAGTGTGGAGCCCTTTACCGCGAACAGTAGGACTCCTCATTCCATGACACCAGGCAGAGTGGCCAACACGGGGGCCTGGCGGCACACAGATTCAGTGCCTGACCTAAAATTGAGTTCAAGGTCATAACAGAAACACAAGACACCCCTGGGTGAGGACTCCTGTGGGTGGGTTGGGGGGTGCTGTAGAGGATGGTGGAGCACTGGGCATGCTCCTTGGGACTCAGAGAAGGTCTCAAAGGTGAGGGCAATGTTGATGGGGCTTTGATGAATGAGTAGGAGTTCATCGAAGAGGAGAATGCCTGGCCTGAAGAAGGAAGGGCTCGTGGGAGAGACTGCTCCGCTTAGACAAAGGGCAGAGGGGCTCTGTCCCCAGCCCTGCTCTGAAGGCCTCAGTCTTGGGCCAGGCAGTGTGAATCACACGCACACGCACACACTCTGCTCATCCTCACTGTGAAACCACTGCAGTATCTCCCTTCTGTCTTGTCCAATCCTAGAAAGTGGGAAAGACCAAGCAAGAACACGATTCTTTGGAAGAGGGTTGGTGGCCCTGCAGACAGAGCCACCAGTTAGGAGGACATGTGCAGGGGCCTGGGGATACCCTAGAAACAAGACCCCAGCCCTCACCTGCCAATTCACACAGAGCAGGAGAATGTGCTCGATCACCCCCTAAGTGTTTATTGAGCACCTGCTAGAACCAGGCACTATTCCAGGCATGGGGGTGGGGGGGGGGGTCCCTGAGCAGCATGAAGAATCCACACCCTCTTGGAGTTGACACTGGTGAGATGTCCTCTCCTGTCTCCTGGACAGTGGGCCTCAAGCACAAGTTGGCCAGACCCCTGTCTCCAGCCCACCAGCTCCAGGAAAGTCTATCCAACCCACCAGCACCCAGGAGCCTCTGGCAAGGACAGCCATGGGTGCCCCTCAGACCACAGGACCCTTGCACGGCCTCTTCCCTCCAGCTTGGTTTTACCCTGTCCCCTTGGTCTTTGGGGAACTGAGAGGACAGACAGCTCCAGGCTCCTGTGGGCTGGGGCTTGGGGCCTGGGGGTCCCATAGACCAGGGGCTGGTGGAGGTACCACATTGGCCGTGTCTGGGCCAGCTGGGGTGCCACACTGATGTCCCCACAGCCTGGGAGGGCCCTGTCAAACAAGGCTCAGCGTTTCTGTCTGCCTGTCCCTACCGTCCCCAGGTGAAGAGCGTGAACCTGTCTGAGGGGGAGCTGCTGTCCATCCGCGGCGTGGACGGCTCCACCCTGACTGTCCTGGCCAACCAGACGCTCCTGGTGGAGGGGCAGGTGATCCGAAGCCCCACCAACACCATCTCCGTCTACTTCCGGACCTTCCAGGACGGCGGGCTCGGGACCTTCCAGCTGCACTACCAGGGTACGCCAGGCCAGGCCACCAGACGGGGCGCCCGCCTCCGTGTCCCTCTGGCCCACTGAGTCGAAACTTCTTCTGTGCCAGGGAGCCTTCGGGAGGTTGAGTTAGGTGACAACCCTTCTCGGGATAGTGTCTCCAGCAGCAACGGGAGCCTGCGGTCCCCAAAGGAGCCAGTCCCGTTGAGTCACGGTTGTCAAAATATTGCCATAATCCGCGAGCTTCTGTATCCCTGCATTAGATAATATCCCCTAATGTTTCTGATAATGACTGCAATTTCAGGGAAATGTGTCAAGATATACATTATGCTATAAAATGATCCGCGCTGCTCTTATGACAGACTCGCAGTCTCCGCTAATAAGCCAACCCCGTGCTGCCTGCAGCCGTGAGGGACAGGTGTCCCGGAGACCAGCTAGGGGCTGATGAAAATAAGCTGCCACTCCCCCTGTTCAAGTCCATAGCCCTGGGTCCCCTCTGAGGCTCCCTTGGACTCCCGAAGAAGAGCCTGTGGCCCCAGCAGCCCTCTGTCTCCAGGTCTCCCCCACTTGCTTCCTGCCTGATTCTCTCCCTCTCGCCTCATCCTCTCTCCTCCTTCCCTTCCTTTCTGGCTCCCTTTATGTCTCCCTCTTTTCCTTCCTCTCCCTCTCTCCTTCCTCCCTTCTCCCCCCCCCCCCTTTTCTCACCTCCTGGCTGCTCCATGATGTCAAATGTCCCTTCCCTTAACTAAGAGCCCCTCCTTGGATATTTGCCAGTCACCAACATACCCACCTGGACAGTGAAGCCCTTGGCCGCACATCTGGATTTGGGGGACCATGTCCATGTATATCTGATGGACCAGACCGCTGGAAGAACAAATCACTTCTGACTTTTCCCTAGAGGGTTCTGGACCAGGGGGAGGGCCGTAGACAGAGGGGTTCACCTCCTCACACCTGTTGATATTGAGACCACCCTGTACTGTTGTCATGGACCCAAAACAAGAGAGAAAATAACTCGTTGAAACATGAACTTGAACTTCCTCCCCCAGACACACTGGGAGTGAAGACAGGTGTTCTATGCCCAACCGCCATCTAGGAGTGGGGTCACCATGACCTGGACATCAGGCGCTGCCCATGGCTCAGGCCCCACCAGCGCCCCACCACCTGAAAGCCTACTGTGCGCCAGCCCTGTGCTCGGCTGCCCTCCCCCAGCATGATCTCGTTTCATCTTGACACTCCCGTGAGGGGTCACCATCAGCACCTCCCCCAGGAAGATGAAGAACAGGAAGGTCAGGGAGATGAGTCTCAGGGCCACGGGGTTCCAAGTGAGAGAGTAAGGACGGGGACCACACATGTGTTCCCCCGGGGGCTCTGGCTCCCCAGCCAGGGGCTTTTTTTATTTTTTTTATTTTTATTTTTTGGGGGGTACCAGGGATTGAACTCAGGGGCCCTCGACCACTGAGCCCCATCCCCAGCCCTAGTTTGCATTTTATTTAGAGACAGGGTCTCACTGAGCTGCTGAGGGCCTCGCTGTGGCTGAGGATGGCTCTGAACTTGTGATCCTCCTGCCTCAGCCTCCCCAGCAGCTGGGAGGACAGGCATCTCCATTTAACATCTGAACCAGCACAGGGAGGTGCACAGGCGGCACCTGCCCTCCTGTGTGTGAGAGAGAGACTCAATGAGGCCAGGGAGTTGTTTTTAACCCCAAAGCTGCTGTCACTAGCTAGGCGGAGCGGGGAGTTTTGAGCCCCCAGACAGTGCTACTCGGGGAACTTCGGTACCCCGCAATCAGTGAGAGTCACAACCCCCTCCGGCGTCCCCAGGGCCTGGTCATTTCTCCTCAGTACAAATGGGCCCCTGGGATGTGGGTTGCGAACTGGTCACCCCCTTGGCGGGATGGGGTGACGGCCTCTGTCCTTGCCCTTCTCCCCAGCCTTCATGCTTAGCTGCAACTTCCCCCGCCGGCCCGACTCGGGGGACGTCACCGTGATGGACTTGCACTCGGGCGGGGTGGCCCACTTCCACTGTCACCTGGGCTATGAGCTGCAGGGCGCCAAGACACTGACCTGCATCAACGCCTCCAAGCCCCACTGGAGCAGCCCGGAGCCCGTCTGCTCAGGTAGGCCCCGCCCACTCGGGTAGGCCCCGCCCGCCCCAGTCAGGCCCGCCCAGCCACGCCCATCCCGGCCCCGCCCTCCAACACAGGTCCTCAGAAGGAGCTCAGGGCCGGCTGCCACCCAGAGGAGAGTACACCCACCCCTGAGGGCTTACCTCTTAACTGGGGTAAAACATGTACTACACCAAATTTACCACCAGAAACATTTAGTATATTCACAATATTGTGACACCATCACCACAATCTAGTTCCAGGACATCTTTATCCAAACGGAAACCCTCTACTCCTGAGAAATTCCTCCCCATTCTCCTCCCCGCAACCCCTAGCAACCACCAGGCTCCTTTCTGTCCCCCGGGGATCCGCTCATTGTGGAAATTCATGTCCACGGGATCATATCTCATGTGATTTCTGTGACCGGTTTCTCTCACTGGCCATGACATTGGCAAGGTTCTTTCAGATTTCAGATGGTATGGGAGCTCCGTTCCTTTTCATGGCTGTATAATATGCATTGCATGGTTCTACCAGCTTTTGCATATCTGACCATGGGCATTGGAGTGGCCTCCACTTTTTGCTGATGTAAATGAGGCTGCTGTGAGCATTTGTATGCAAGTCTTCACGTGGACATAGTTCTCATTTCTCTTAGCTATCCAAAAAATGGAATTTTCCATGCAGTGGGTTTATATTTCCAAGAGCCATGTTCGAGGACACCCATTTCTCCTCTTGTTATACCCCATGCTGTTGTCATAGAGGTCATAGCCGGTGTGAAGGTGCTGTTTGGTCTTGTTTTGCTGTGCTGGGAATTGAACCCAGAGCCTCGCACATGCTAGGCATGTGCCGTACCACTGAGCCCATCGCAGCCCTCCTGGTGGCTTCCACAGTTCCCTGATAACTAATGATGCCCGGCATCTTCTCGTACACTTGTCGGTCATGTATATTTTCTTTAAAGAAACCTCCGCTCCAGTCCTTTGCCCAGGGTTTAATGACTATTTGTTTTTTTTCTTGTTGAATACTAAGAGTTCTTTATATATTCTGGATACTAAGCCCTTAGAATACATAGGATTTACAAATATTTCCTCCTCTTCTGTGGGTTTGTCTTTTCACTTCTTGATAGTGCCATTTGATGGAAGGAAAAATATATTATTAATTTTGATGACGTCTCATTTATCTATTGTTCTTTGTTGCTTGTGTTTGGGGCATGACTGCCGCCATTTTGTTCTTTTTAGTTGAGCTCATATGCACTGAGCATCCTGCCAGAGGCTGTAGTTAATCCCACCTCCTGGGATACACTGCCCCCATTTCAAGATAAGTCTCATGGAGGTGAAGTGACTTGCCTAAAGTCACCAGGCAGCTGGGGAAGGTAGCCTGCCCGCAGCCTGGCACCCTCCAGCCAAGGGGAGTGGACCCTGTGGGTCCTGCGCTCTGCAGACAGCAGCTAAGACTTCAAGACTCAGAAGGAATCCCACACGCCCGAGGCTCTTTGTCGCCCAGAGCCGTTCCTATCCGCTGGTCACTCCACAGACCTCCGGCAGCACCTCTGTGTGCAGGATGCCGCCCCAGTGCCTGGCCGTCTCAGAGAGCCTGTCCCCAGCCCTGGCTCTGGGGGTCTCCAACCTAGTGCACAATGCAGTGTGCGAATGAGCCAGCAGGGACCAAAGGTGACGTTACTTAGGGACTGTGACAAGTGCCAGGAAATGAACTCCCCGGATGGACCCAAGCAGATGAGTGGGGACCAGAGAGACATCAGAAATCAGGGCAAGAGGGGTGGCCACGAGGAAGGGTATGCGGGGAGGAGGCACGAAGGTGGGAGTGAGGGGTGAGGATGGGGAAGGAGTCCCAGGGAGGAGTCCCAGGGAGGAGTCCCAGGGAATGCCTCCAAACCAGCATCTGGAGTGTTGGGAGAGAACTGGGCTAAAGGCCGGGGACGGGGACGGTCACTCCAGGCAAGTGAAGCAGCAAGTGCAGAGGCCTTGAGGGGGAAGGAAGCCATTGAGTCTGAGAAAGTAAAACGGGACCAGTCGGGTAAGGGGGCAGCACCCACGTGGCTCAAGGTCCTCGGGTGCGACATGGGTGCACGAGTGGCGGACATCTGTGTGGCTTCAGGCCCAGGAAGAAGCGCCCTGGCCGCTGTGTGGCACACAGATGGCCGGAGATGCTCCGAGGGCCTCCGTGGCCACCAGGTGGCGCTCCGCCCCTCAGTGAGGGAGGCCTGGAGCGGAGGTACAGGCTCCAAGTGTGGGCCGAGGCCGGAGCGCCCCGCGCCTGAGCTGCGCCCTTTACACATTCAGTCCTCGCAGCGAGGCCCTTAATGCACCGTCTGAGCCCCGTGCAAAACCAGCCGAGTCAGAATCTGCATTTCACACGCCCCTCGGTGGCTCGTGGGCACATCATGGTTTGGGAAGCACCAGCTGTGTCACACTGACCCTGCACCCGCGGGGCAGGCTGGGCTCTGTCCATGGTCCTGAAGGACGAGTGGACCTCTCTGGCCACTTCTTTGGTGCATATCACAGCAAAGTCCAGAGCAGAGGGCAAAACCCCTTGTAGAACCTCAAGAGTCCTGGGGGTGGGGGGGGGCAGCATAGATGACCCCTATTGGCTGAGCACCTACTACGTGCCAGGCCATGCGCCATGAATGAGGTGAACACCAGGCACCAAACGGCAGGATTCGAGCGCTCGCGGTCAAGTGGAATCCAAAACAGCAAACGAGAGTGGTGATGTTTACGAGATTTATTTGCTGCAGTGTTGTCCCCGAGGCCTGCAGAATGTTTCTCTTTTTCAAACAAAGGAGGGAAAATCCAAAGCACAGGGCAGTTAGTGTGCCCGCGGCTCTCGTGTTAATTTATATGTTTGTGTGAAAGCGAGAGGAATCGAGCCTCAGTCTTGCTGAGGAAGATGTATGGGGAGCTGTGTCCGGCAAATCCAAGGCCAACAGAGCCATCCGTCGGCTTCATAAGGCTAGAGGGGAACCAAGGGGTGTCCCGGGAAAAGCAGCCCAGAGGACAGATGGCGCCACCCCCCACCGGGGACAGTGTCCTCCATCTCTGTCTCCAAACCACACTGGAGTGACACTGACAAGGTTTGGGGCACCTTCTCTGAGCCAGGCACGGCACCAAGCCCTATCTATAGAGATCACCTCAGTGACTTCCCTCTGCGTCCTCTGAGGAGGGTGGAATGATTATTGTCATTATTACAGCAGGGAGACCCAGTTCAGAGCCTCGAGTGCCCTCCACAGCAGGGAAGTGGCCTCGAATCCAAGGCTGGGGGACAATCTCTCCAGGATGGGACAGGAAGGCAAACTGGGCTCTGTCCATGGTCCTGAAGGACATGTGGACCTTTCTGGTTACTTCTTTGGTGCATATCACAGCAAAGTCCAGAGCAGAGAGGAGACCTACCCACCCACTCAGCTCTTCTGCTGTAACGGTATTCAGAGCTGAGTGCAGTGGCGGACACCTGTGATCCCAGCCGTTCAGGAGGCTGAGGCAGGAGGATCACCATCTCAAGGCCAGCCTCAGCAACTTAGCAAGGCCCTCAGCCACTTAGTGAGACCTTATCTCAAAATAAAAAAATAAAGAAGGGCTGAGGATGTGGCTCAGTAGTTAAGCACTCCTGTGTTCAATCCCTGGGACATCCCCACCACCACCAAAAAAAGCCTATTCAGTCACATACTCATTCAACAAATACTCAATGAGCATTTGCTATATGTCCATAATGAAAAAAAGAAAGATTAATTTCTCAATCAACAAACATTTACAAAGTGCCCAATATACTCCGTGCACCCTGAGATCTGTAGAATATCACCATGAATTAGAAACGGGATGGAGGAGTAGCTGCAGTAACAGACTCCAGAGTCAAGCATCATGAGTCTGAGTCCCATCTACTCCACTTTCCTAGCCTTGTGTCCTTGGGCTAGTGGCTTACCACCTCTGGACTTCTTTTTCCTCTTTTACAAAAGGAATGGTTGCTGTTTATTCAATATTTACTGAGCACATGCTACACACCGTGAACTCATCCGGGTGCCAGTGTTCAAGAAAAGCCAAAATAATAATGATGATGGATTGAACCCCGGGGCCCTCGACCCCTGAGCCCCACCCCCAGCCCTATTTTGTGTTTTATTTAGAGACAGGGGCTCACTGAGCTGCTTAGGGCTTCACCCTTGCTGAGGCTGCCTTTGAACTCATGATCCTCCTGCCTCAGCCTCCTGAGCTGCTGGAATGACAGGTGAGGGCCACCACTCCCTGCTGAAACCCACATCTTACAGAGGCAAAAATGCAGAATGGAGAAACAGCTCCCCAGGCAGCACATGACAAAACAATTTCCTAAGACCCCAACATCTCCTGGGCATAAGAGTCAGAATGGCTCCTCATTTGTGAACTGAGAGAGCTGTGTACCTCTTTCTAGGGCACAAATCACTTTTTAATATTTCTTTATTACATTTTTATGATAAAAGTAATATATGGTTCTGCTAAAAAAATGTTCAAGAAATTCAAAAGTGTAGAAGATAGAAGCAAATCACTTTTATATTCATGGTCTCAACGGATCCTGGCCAACAGCTCATTGAAATATGCACGACAGAATGTTTTCTGTCTTGCCTTTTTTTTTCCCACTTAAAAAATAGTGAGCATTTTCTTATGTTTGTAAGTGTTCTTTGAAAACACGGCTTTTGATAACCACCCAGAGAGAGTGTATTTATTCCACCAAACCCCTGTGAGAGGAGTCTGTGTTGTGTCTTGGTTTCTCGGAGAAGCAAAGCGGTGAGGTGCGCCCTCCTTCTTAAATCCACGCACAAACCTCCAAACCTTTCGTAGGATCCGTTCCCAGAGCAGCAATTCCAAGGTCAGAGCACTTGAACCCACTCTCCCACCTTTCCGCCTCATTGCCCGTCTGAAAGGTCCTAACGTTTTCATCCTCACTAGTCAAGGATAAGAGTGGCCTTTCTCATGACCTTTACCATCTCTGGGTTTTTATCTTGACCAATTAGGTGGATCCCAGAGTTTAGACTGCATCCTGTTATTATTAGTGAGCCTGGATGTTGTTGTGCGTCCTGAGTTACTGAGCTGGATGTCTTCTCTGGTGAACTTTTTGTGTCCTTCTCCATTAACATTTATTTCATTTTTTGTGGTTGGTGGTGGATTTGTTGGGGTTTTTGTTGTTTTTGTTTATGTTTTTCGGGAGAGGATGGGGTACCCTCCACCCCGAGCCCCACCCCCAGCCCTATTCTGTGTTTTATTTAGAGACAGGGTCTCACTGAGCTGCTTAGCATCTCCCTTTTGCTGAAGCTGGCCTTGAACTCGCCATCCTCCTGCCTCAGCCTCCCAAGCCACTGGGATGGCAGGCGTGGGCCACCGCACCCGCTGGATGAACATTGTATAATTAAAAGTCGGGGCACAGCCAGCTCCGTGGAAGAGAGCCCAGATCCCAGTCATTCCCTCCCATGACACACTCATGTCGGGGGTCCGGGTGTGGAGTGGGGTCCATCCAACAGAATGAAGCCTCCTGGAGGACAAGACTCTTCCAAGCGTCCCCACAGGCACCCCAACTCCTCCCCGGGGTCTCCCGTGCTCCACCCAGGCTGAGGGGTAAGGGTGGGACTGGGAGGAGGGACACCCACGGCCTCGCTCTCTCTGCTCTCTGCCCGCCCACGCTGGACCAGCCCCCTGCGGAGGAGCCGTGCACAACGCCACCATCGGCCGCGTCCTCTCCCCCAGTCACCCTGCCAACGCCAACGGAAGCCAGTTCTGCGTGTGGACCATCGAGGCCCCCGAGGGCCAGAAGCTGCACTTGCACTTCGAGAGGCTCTCGCTGCATGACAAGGACAGGTACATGGGAGGGCAGCACCCTGCCCTGCAGCCTCCTGACACCAGGGTTTGGGGTCCCCAGGTGGACAGAGGCTTTGGCTCACAGAGTTCGAGGAAGTGAGTGCTGGGGACAGTGGCAGAGACCTCAGGGCCATCAGCTGCCATCTCTTCCTCTCCCACATAAAGCGACCAAGATGTGCGGGGGAGGGGGGGTGGACACCACAGGGGGACAGGCCCAGGTCACTCAGCAGGCGGGGGAGGGGAAGGAGGGACTCAAGGTCCCCATCCTGCACTGTCCCTTCTCCTGCCCCCTTTCGCAGTGGAACAAGGTGGGGACCGTCTCCACAGCCCCTGCCCCATGCTCAGCTGTGGTCGGCTCCAGGGAGAACAGGCGAAAATCAGAGAGAAGTGGTGCCTGGGTTCACAGGGGGGTGAGGAGGGACAACTAGGTGCGAGCACACCGCAGAGCAGGGAGAAGTTCAAGGGGACAGCCAGGAGAACCCAGGTACAGAGTCCAGATCTCAACACCTGTGTGCTCCGGCACTGTGCTCTAGGACTTTGTGGAAAACTGGGACCCCCAGGGCTTAGACGTGGGTCTTAGGCGGGGCTCCGCGGGCAGCAGGCAGGATGCGGGGAAGTCGCCTACCTGGGAGGTGACGCTGTGGGTGCTCACAGGGGCTGGGAACGTGAAGGGAGAAGTGTGGCTGGTGACAGCTGGGTTCTGAACATTGGAGATCTGCGGGGAGCAGCACAGAGCACCCCCAGAGCGGTCCTGCTGGAGGGACCAGCCCTGCCTGCCACCCTCTGA